AACTTGTGCCAGCCTCAATCATTGCTACACTTGAGCCCATTGCTGCTGGCACTCTGTCACTCCATCTACTTGGGGGTCTTCTTTTTCTCTGACCCTCTACTTTACCAAGCATGATATCCATCTCCGGGGGCTGTTCCCTCCTGATAATATAACCAAAGTATGAGAGATGAAATCAGGCTTCTGAGGAGCATTCTGGCTGTACTTCTTCCAACATAGATTTATTTATTCTTTTGGCAGTCCATGGTACTTTTAATATTCTCCTCCAACACCGTAACTCAAATGCATCAATTCTACGGTCTTCTTTATTCATCGCCCAACTTTCACATGCATATGAGGTTACTGAAAATGTCATGGCTTGGATCAAGCACACAGGTATCTTTGTTCCTGAACACTTTGAAGAGGTCTTGTGCCGCAGAGTTGCCTAATGCAATACGTTGTTTGATTTCTTGACTGCTGCTTCCATGAGTGTTGATGATTGGTCCTAGCAAAATGAAATCTTTTGACAACTTCAATCTTTTCTACATTTATCGTGATGTTACTAATTGGTCCAGTTGTGAAGGCTTTTGATTTCTTTAAATTGACGTGAAACCCATACCTAAGGCTGTGTCTTTGATCTTCATAAGTATTTTAAGTCTTCTTTGCTTTCAGCAAACAAGGTTGTATCATCTGCACATCACAGGTTGTTAATGAGTCTTCCTTCAGTCCTGATGCCACGTTTTTCTTCTTCTAATCCAGCTTCTCGAATTATTTGCTGAGCATACAGACTGAATAAGTATGGTGAAAGAACGCAACCCTGGTGCACAACTTTCCTGATGTTAAACCATTCCCTGTTCCCGTGTTCTGTTTGAACAACTAACTGGTCTATGTACAGGTTCCTCATGAGCCCTATTATGTGTTCCGGAATACTCATTCTCCATATTGTTGTCCATAGCTTGTCATGGTTCACACAGTCAAAAGCCTTTGGTAGTCATTAAAGCACAGATAAAAATCTTTCTGGTATTCTCTGCTTTCAGTCAAGATCTATCTGACCCATCTGACGTCAGCAATGATATCCCTCGTTCCAAATTCTCTTAGTAATCCAGCTTGAATCTCTGGCAGTTTTCTGTCAATATACTGTTAAAACTGGTTTTGAATTATCTTTAGTAAAATTTACATGCATGATCTATCTATTAATGATATTGTCCAGTGATTTCTGCATTTTGTTGGGTCACCTCTCTTTAGAATAGGCACAAATATGTATCACTTCTAATTAGTTGGCATAAATGAGTGAGTGCCTCCAGTGTCACATCATTTGTTGTTTTTTTAATTTAGTGTGTACTCCATCATTTCCCAGAGCCTTGTTCTTTGCCAATGCCTTCAGTGCACCTTCAGTTTTTTCCTTCAGTGTCATTGGCTCTTTATCATATGTTTTCTTTTGAAATGGTTGAGTATCAACCATTTCTCTTGGTACAATGTTTCTGTGTATTCCTTTTGTCTTCTTATTAAGCATTCTGCATCATTCAATATTTTGTCCGTAGAATCCTTCAATGTTGCAAGTCAAGAGCTTGAATTTTTTCTTTTTTCTGTTTCCTCATCTTGAGAAATGCTGAGCATGTTCTTTCCTTTTGGTTTTCTAACTCCAGGTCTTTGCACATTTCATTATGATGTTTGACTTTGAATCCAGTGTAGCGATGCTAACAACAAATGAAAGAAATGAGGAGACAAAAGAGCTGAATAAAATTTCTAAGAGCAGCTGGAGAGCAGAGTCCTGGGTGACACTATAGGATAAGCACTGGACCATACGGTTGGTTTGAACCACAAGGTCAGATGTTGGTTTGAATCACAACCAGCTGCTCCTTGGATACTCTATACAGGGTCACTATGAGTCGGAACAACTTGACAGCATGTAACAACACAAGAGCTTCTCCTTCTTTCTTGTCTTCTTAATGACCTTTTGCTTTCTTCATGTTCTTGATGTCATCCCACAACTCTTCTGATCTTCGGTCATTAGCATCTGATGCATCAAATCTGTTCTTGAGATGGTATTTAAATTCAGGTGAGATATATTCAAGGCCATATTTTGGTTCTTGTGGATTTATTTTTAATTTTCTTCAGGTTCAGCCTAAACTTGCATAATATGAGCAATTGATGGTCTGTTCCACAGTCTGCTTCTGGTTTTGTTTTAACTGATGATATGGCGCTTTTCCACAGTTTTTTCCCACAGATGTACTCGATTTGATTTCTGTGTATTCCACCTGGTAAGGTCCATGTGTATAGTCGTTTTTTATGTTGTTTAAAAAAGGTGTATTTGCAATGAAGACGTTATTAGTCTTGCAGAATTCTGTCCTGTGATCTTCAGCACCATTTGTATCACCAAGGCCATATTTTCCAACAACTGACCCTTCCTCTTTGTTTCCAACCTTCACATACCAATTGCCAGTAATTATCAATACATCTTGATTGCATGTTTGATCCATTTCAGACTGAAGAAGTTGATAGAATTCTTCCATTTCATCATCACTGGCTTTAGTGGTGGTTGGTGTAAATTTGAATAATAGCTGTATTGACTGGCCTTCTTTGTAGGCGTATGGATATTATCCTACCACAGACAGTGTTGTACTTCACGATGGATCTTGAAATGTTCTTTTTGATGATAAATGCAATGCCATTTCTCTTTAATTTGTCATTGCTGGCATAGTAAATCATGTGATTTTCAGATTCAAAATGGCCAACACCAGTCCATTTCAGCTCACTAATGCCTAGGCTGTCGATGTTTATGCGTTCCATTTCATTTTTGACAACTTCCAGTTTTCCTAGATTCTTACTTTGTACTTTCCGTGTGGTAATTACTAATGGGTGTTTGCAGCTGTTTTCTTTCCACTTTGATTTGTGCCCCATCAGCAAATGATGGTCCCAAAATCTTCATTCGATTCACATCATCATGGTCAACTCTACTTTGAGGAGGCAGTCCCTTTTCATTCATAATCAAGTGCCTTCCAACCTGAGAGGGGCACTCATCTTCCGGCACTATATCTGACAATATTCTGGTGCTCTTCATCATGTTTTAATATTCAAATTCTGGTGCTATCTGACAGTGTTCCACTGCTATTCATAAGGTTTCAGTGGCTAAATATTCAGATGTAGTCCATCTCTCCTTCTTCCTAGTCTGTCTCAGCTGAAACCTGTCCACCATGGGTGATCCTTCTGGTATTTAAAATATCCATGACATAGCTTCCAGAATCACAGCAATATGCAAACCACAAAAGTATGACAAACTGGCAGACAAATGATAGTTGTCAATTTTATTGGCCAAAAAAATCTTAATTTCCATTTTTACTTCTTGTTCAGTGGTGAAATTGCACATCTTTTTATTTTTTAGCCATTTTTGTTTCTTCTGTGAATTTCCCTTCATATTCTTTGACTAGATTATTTGTCTTTTCTGTTGATTGATATAGTCCTTATTAGCCCTTTACTTATTCTCATTTGTATTTTAACTTCACAGATGGTATCTTTCTCTGTTAAAAAAAGTTTTGATGTTTATGTTGTTAGATCTATTTTTTCTTTTCTAGCTAGAACAATCTTACAAGTCGTCCCTAATATGTTGTTAGTGGTGTGTGTCATTTAGTTCATTCTAATTCAGAGTCGTATTCTTTCACCATACTTTTCTAACCATGTATGCTGAACAAATAATCTGATAAACTGGGTTATATGAAGAAACACATGGCATCAGGATTGGAGGAAGACTCCAACCTGCGATATGTAGATGATACAACCTGGCTTGCTGAAAGTGAAGAGGACTTAAAATACTAACTGATGAAGATCAAAGGCCACAGCTTTTGGTATAGATTGTACCTCAATGTAAAGAAAACAAAAATCCTCACCACTGCATCAATAAACAACATTCTTATCATTGTAGAGAAGATCGAAGTTGTCAAAGACTTCATTTTGCTCGGATCCACCATCAACACTCATGAAAACAGTGGTCAAGAAATCAAATGACATATGCATTAGGCAAATCTGTGGCACAAGACCTTTTTAAAGTGTTGAAGAGCAAAGATGTCAGTTTGAGGACTAAGATGTGCCTGACCCAAGACATGGTATTTTCAATAACCTCATATGCATGCAAAAATTGGACAATGAATAAGGAAAATGGTAGAAGAATTGATGCATTTGAGTTATAGTGCTGGAGAAGAATATTGAAAGTACCATGGGTTGCCAAAAGAACAAACAGATCTGTGTTGGAAGAAGTACAGCCAGTGTGCTCCTTGGAGGCTAGGATGGCCAAACTTCATCTTTGGACATAATGTCAGGAGAGACCAGTCACTGGAGAAAGATATCATGTTTGGTAAGGTGGAGGGTCAGAGAAAAAGAGGAAGACCCCTGTGAGATGTATTGGCACAGTGGCAACATCAGTGGGCTCAAGTGTGGCAATTGTGAGGTTAGCCCAGGACCAGGCAGTGTTTCGGTCTGTTGTGCAGAGTCACTGTGAGTCGGTACCGACTTCATGGCACCTAAAAACCAACACCAACAACACATAGTAACCCTACCAGAAGAATATAAGAATACTTGTTATATATTTATGTAATTTCTGTACATATGTATTTAATTGGTTGAGAATTTATTTTTGTGTTTATGATGTAAAATAGGAACTTAACTCTCTTATTTTCTATGTAGATAACCACCATATCAACCCTATTTATTGCAAAGTTAGTCCTTTCCCCACTGATTTGCGTTTCTACCTCTGTTGTTACTAACTTTGTTTATGCGTGTATATCTGGAATTTTCACTTTGTTTCAGTGCTCTGTTTACCCATGTGCCTGCAACCAAGCTATTTTCATTTTAGTTGTTTTATAGTATGTCTATTTCCTCTGGAAGGCTAGCCTCCTTATTATCTTCTGTTATTTTCCTCTGTAGTTTTGCCAGCCATCCTTAGATATTTACCTATGATAAACTTTAAAATGAGCTCAAGAACTCCTTCCCAGATCTCCTTGGATCCTTAATAGAAATTGCATTAAAATCAGAAATCAATTTGGGGAGTTTATTATACTTTGTTAGGTAGTGCATAATTTTTGAACATCGTCTTTTCAATATGCCTCTGCCAACTCTCTTGGCCAAAAAGCTGTTATATAAGTTATTTAGGAAATAAGGAGTTTCTTTTCTTATCAAAATCCCAGCAAGTCAGAAGAGTTACATTCATCCTTTCTAAACTGTAGACCATCTATTCATAGGCCCTTGGACTGGACAGTGCCAATGAGAAAGGCTTGTACAGAAGGGGTGAAGCCCAGCTGCTGATGAACGAGTTTGAGTCAGCCAAGGGTGACTTTGAGAAGGTGTTGGAAGTGAATCCCCAGAATAAAGCTGCAAGACTACAGATCTCCATGTGCCAGAAGAAGGCCAAGGAGCACAATGAGCGGGACCGCAGGATCTATGCCAACATGTTCAAGAAGTTTGCTGAGCAGGATGCCAAGGTATGTGCAGGGCTGACCTGGCCACTTGGCTGTTTGTTCTGAGCAGGTTAAGAGTTGGGTAGAAGGACAGGTAAAGGTAAACTAGAAGCACAAGTATAGGGAAAATGACTTCGAATTTGAAGCTTGTTTGAATCCAGAGGCTGCCTGTGGCAGCTCCACCATCAAGGGACATATTTGTGAGACCCTGTCCCATCGTGTAAAAATGAGGAAAATAAATTCACTGAAGAAGTGCTTAGAGAGCTCTGGTGGCGTAGTGGACTGCATGTTGTGTCGTTAACCATAAGGTTAGCAGTTCAAACTCTGCAGGAGAAAGAAGAGACTTTCTGTTACTATAAAGATTTATAGTCTCGGAACCCTATACAGGGTCTCTGTGAGTCAGAACCGACTCAACAGCACACAGCAACAACAGAGATAGACACATTTCGTTGTGGTGTGTATTTGTTTTCCCCCAGCTCATACTTTTTTGTTGAGATTTTTGTTTTTTCTGGGCTATTATGGTGAAGCCCACTATCATGACCTTTGCCCTGAGGTTCGGGGGCCGACCTACAGATGTGATAGGAAACGTCGGTGTAGAGAGATGCCAGCTCCCCTTTCAGCATAGTTGTAGCCTGATCCTGAGTCCTTCCTCCTCTCCCCAGCCCTTGGTCACATGGACTTGACAGTTACCGTAACCAGGGAAAAGTGAAAGTACCCTCTGTGTCATCGGTAGCCCACCCCGACTTACCCAAGTAGGCAACCTAAGTAAAGTAGTGTAATGCACTCTCTGGTGGTTCAAAGCTACCAGCTGCTCCTCAGAAACCCTATACAGGGTCACTATGGGTCAGAACCGATTCGCCAACACCTAACAACAACAAAATGCTTGATAACAGTCTGGAGAAGCCAGGATTTAATTGAGCCATCTCATTTCTTTTGTCTTTAACCGTCTTGATTTCTACCTCAGGAAGAAGCCAGTAAAGCGATGAGCAAGAAGACTTTAGAAGGAGTTACCGCTGAGAAGGGAACGAAAGGTCAAGCAATGGAAGAAGACAAGCCCGGAGGCCGCGTATGACACCGTGCTAGGGAGGGATAAGAGTCCTGATGAACTCGGTTCCCTCCGCAGTGGGCTTTCCCCCAACTCAGGACTAAGCCGTGTTTAATGTAAAGTCTGTTATAGTCTATGTGATTCTGGAAGCAATGACAAAACCAGTAGCTTCCCAAAAGCAATCACCCTGCTGCTGCCCTGTGCACTCATGGAGGGGCACCTGGGGCCACTCCAGGTGGAACAAAACCCAGAAATGACTGTTGGGGAGAGACTGAACCAACAGACTAAGTCCAGCTCATTTCAGTTTATGTCACCTTTCAACTTCAAACCTGTTGCGTTTTACATTTGATTGAGTTTTTTTTAATAGCACTGCAGAAATTTGGGGGTGGGGAAATGCCTAATGAATTTCTCCTTCCTTATAGTGGGTGGCGAGGGGAATGAGGAGTGAGGTTTTATTTTTTAAATGACAGAAGTGCTGCAAATGCAACCGGTTGCATTTTAAACCAACAGAATCCACAGCCGAGGGGTCTGGTCTCCCCTCAGGTACACAGTAGTGCCACAGACTTGAAAGCCAGAACCTCAGAGGCCACTTGCTTGCTGACTTAACCTCTTCCTGTGTGCCCTGAATGATGCAGCCTCCTTGTGAGCTGGGTTTCCATCAGTCCCAGCTTGTCCCTGGGAGGAGAAAGCTCTCATTCCTAAAACACATTTCTGCAACAATAATGACCAGACCGGAGTTTCTGAATTGGCTTTCTCTGTTTTGGATGAGGTTCTGAGTTGCTGAAATAGGAAAATAGCAATTAGAATTATACTTTTTAAATTTCCCTCCCTTCCTTTATTCCTTTTAAATATTGTTGAAAGCCTGCTAACATTGCTACTGTTCAATTCCTTATTTCCATTCTAGTCTTTGTTACTCAGAACTTAAGAAGTTCTTGTGTCTTAGACCTGGAGTGGATCTGATTATGTATCCATTGAGGATTGCTGCAGCTTTTTTCTGTCTTTTTAAAATTACTGGCTCAAAGACATATATGTATGCATTTATGTATGTATATGTGCATATATACATATATATATGTAACTTCATTTACACTCCTCTATCATGCAAAAAAAAAAAAAATGACTTCTTACTACTACTAAGTAGTTTAAGTTTTAAAAACAGAATCATATGGGGTTGGGTACAAAGCAGTTCCTCTTCTACAATAAGGGTTTGACTTGCAGGTTTGACTCGTAGTAGTTTTTGTTTTGTTTTGTTTTTCCTGCGCTGATAGCTTCTTTGTTCAGGTGTTAGTTGGAAAACGATTGAAAACAGTTTCCCATGCAAGTACATCTAACCAAAATCTCCAGTACTTGGGCATTGAATTAGGGCAAGTTTTAAAACAAATATATATGTGTAGTTGAGTTTTAGTCCTTATGGGTACATAAGATGAACATGGCTCTCCATTTCCACCACCTAAGATGCTCATGGGTAATGTAATTGACAACCCATGGAACCATTCACTTACACCTGGGACATCTCACTTTTCTGATTATTAAAGGAACACTGGCAGTTACATTGTAGATTATTTTTTATCTTTATGGTGGTTTTAACAAAACATTTTCATTGTTAGGTTAGAACTCACCTTAAAACCTAAAAATGAAGTTGTGTCCTTTTATACCAATGATATTTTCCATGGAACAAATGGAATTAATTTGTGAGTTGCTTTTCTTTTCATTATAACTAAAACCCTTCTAATTTCTCACTTATGCTTTTGTCTTGTTTTTTTTTTTTTTTTTTTTTGTGTGTGTGTGTGTGTGTGTGTGTGTGTGAAATATTTCTTTAAAAAGCCCCAGTCTTACCTAGGAAATAGGGAAAGCAAAAATTGGTTCTGCTTGTTTTCTTAACGGTTTGGTGTTTGCTGCTCTGTTGATTCAAGCGTGATTCCAGTGAGGCCCAGAGTGAGATTTTGAGCCCCAAAAGGCCAGTTACCTTTTTGCAGGTAACAAACAAAAGTGGTATTCCAAACATCAGATAATCTCAGCCAACTGTCTACCAAGTGTGTGTTATGGGTCTTGTTATGGGCAAGATTGTGAGTGCCGATGAGAAAGGAGAGAGGGAGGGCATGGGTGTGTGAGCCATTCTCAGCCAGCGATTAAGACATGCCCATCACCACTCAAGAAAAAACAAGTCCACACATTCTTGTATCAAATTCAGCCATCTTAAACAATTTGTGGAGAACTTAGCTGATCTCTTTGAACCGTCGTTTTTAGACTACATATAGAATGGTGAGTCAGCATATGATGAATTAAAAATAGAAAATTGTTGGTGTTTTTTGTTTGTTTCTTTTTAAACCATCATTTAGCTGTACTTTTATTGTGCCCCCTAAATAAAATTTAAAACCCAAAGTGACTTCCCATGGTATTTATTTTGCTTAAATTGTCATCAGGGAAAATTATTTTGGTTGGAAAACTGGTGGGTCCAAGTTGAAGAAATGAGACATCAGAAAATTGGCAAGAGGATATTTCCATGCTTTTTGCATTTATGTACAACCTGAAATCAGCATTGGGGTAAAGGCAGTGGAATTATGCCTTTGTTAAGGAATTATGTCGTTGTTAAAATGAACCAAATAATTGGGACAGTAAGAGAGTTTTGTTATTTTACCAGCCATATTTCAAACTAATTTCTAGATGGGTTTAGTGTAGGAAATGAAGACATTTCATTGTGTCCTTTAAAAAATATGTGAATTCGCATAGGGATAAGCACATGTGAGGCAATGTTCTTCTTCCTGAAGTTGTGTATTTCATCAGACTCCCCTCCCCTCCCCCCCAGTGTATACTCTGAAGACCTAAGGAGACTATGCCACAAACACTGCCATGCTAATTGCAAAGGCAAGGCAAGGCGGTGCTGGGAGGGTGTTGGCCTTTCACAAGTAGTACCACTAAGTCCTACAGATAGGTTTTCATGAGCTCAAGACCCCTTTGGTCTCAGAGTTCCTTGTCTCCAGCTCATTCCATCTCTGGATTTGAATTAAACTCTTCCCTTTGAAAATTATTTGGGGATGAAATAATTCCCTTGACTTGCATGTTTGTTTTCTAAGCACTGTGGTTACGTGAAAGATCTTAAGGATGAACCAGAGAAGGTTTCCTGGCTGTCAATTTGTGATTTAGCAATTCACAGGCAGCCTGTACACCATCCAGGCATGAAGAGTACCACTGCAGAGCTTTGTCCAGGTGTACTTGGCCTACATTGAACTTTGAACTCCCCTCTTTAGTGTGATATTTAGCACCCTAACCCTAAACCAATCTGGCACTGGTAACAAAATGCATTGAACTTGAACTTAGTTTTACAAAACTCAGAACTCCTCCACCTACCTGGACATTTTTTCCCATCCACTGGCCACTTACGCATTTGCATGGCAATGACTGACAAAAGTGTGCTCAAAAGGACATTTTCTAATGGTTTGAGGAAAGTTTCTGGGGACCCTCAGTGGGGACCTTCAGAGTTTTCTTTCTTACATGTCTGACACACAGGGTTTCTGTGGGAGGTAGGAGGAGGAGGATATGAAAAGAAGGCACAGTAATGTTGACACTGCTGTTTGCAGATCCATGATTCTATTGAGCTGCAATTGTATATAATGTGCGCTGCTAATAATGCATTCCAGGAAAGGGTATCATTGAATGTAATTCCCAAGAAGGCCCTTGACGTCTCCTTTTATAGCTGACTGCTGTCTCAGAATGGGACAACTCCAGCATAGCCAGAGAGCAGGGGCTGTCTGTGTCTGCTAGAGGTGGGGGGACCTAGCTATAGGAGGTGGCCAGCTCGTGGTTATCCAAAGCCCTGACCCCATATTCAATTCCAAAATAGTTTTTCCCTAGTTGGCTATGAAATGAGATGTTCGTAGTTCTTCAAGCAGTTTGTGGGATTGAAATGACAGCAGACCACAAGTCTCTTGTTATACATCGAGCTAATGTGGGAAAGCAGTAAAGACAGGCAGAGGATTTGCTTTTAAAGCCTGCTTTCGGTTAAGAACCTTGAATACAGAAAACAAAGAACTGATGATTTTGAATCATGCTGATGAATATTGACTATACCTTGCACTGTCAGAAGAACAAATAAATGTGTGTTGGAAGAAATATAGCCAGAATACTCCTTAGAAGCAAGGATGGCGAGACGTCTCACATACTCTGAATATGTTATCAGGAGGGACCATCCCTGGAAAAGGAAACATAGAGGGTCACCGAAAAAGGAAGCCTCTCCTCAATACGATGGTTTGACACAGTGGCTGCAACGATGGGCTCAGACAATTGTGAGGATGCCACAGGACCAGGCTGTGTTTCTGTCTGTTGTGCGTGGGGTTACTCTGGGTTGGAACTGACTTCAGGGCACTAGTAACAACTGAGTTAGGGAACTTCTGTGTTTGGAGCGCGTGTCCTTTATCTTGTAGCTCTCCACCACCTGCACTTAGCTAAGTTTGTGCAGACCTACTTGAAGGGCTGCCACTTAACATGAACTCACAGGCAGGTAGTGGAATCTGTGGTGGTCTGTGCCATGCAGCCAGGCAGGGGCGAGGCTAAGATACTTATAAACTGCTCAGAACGGTGCAGAGAAAACTATTCTACAGCCACAGGTTAGAACTGTTCAAAAGTACTGTTCAATAAGTGCCAACTCTTTTACTCTCCTCAAAATATGAAAAAGAAGGTAACTGCTGCAATAGTGTCACCTTCCGGCGGAATTCTGAGACACGTGTTTCCAGCTTGGCTTAGCTGACACTTCACACACACCACACTCTAATCCTCTCTCAGCATGTTAACTATTTCTAACGTGTCAAATACAGACATGCCAAAGTTGGGGAAATGAGTTTTCACAATATAACCCCTTGCTGTGTTGATGCTGTGTGTCATCAAGTCATTTCAGACTCAGTGACCATATAGGACGCAGTAAACCTGCCCCATAAGGTTTCCAAGCCTGTAAATCCCTTTTTGGAGTCCTAGTATGGCATTGGAGGACAAACACTGGCTGCTAACCACAAAGTTATTGGTTCAAGCCCACCAGCTGCTCCTCTACAGAGTTGCTTTGAGTCAGAACTGACTGACTGGCATTTAGCAACAAAATCCCTTTTACGGAGAGCAGATCACCACTCTTTTTTGTCCACAGAGTTTTTGGTGGGTTCAAACCACTGACCTCAGCTACCATTGTGTTTTCAGGGCTGCTTCCCCTTGCTGGGGTTTTACAACTTGACCTACAGTTATCTCCTAAAAGGTCCTGACCAAGGAGTTAAAATGAGAACAGGAAATGGTTGTTAAGTGCCATAGAGTCGGTTCTGACTCATAATGACCCTGTATAG